TGTATCAGTTTAGCATGCAAAAACACCACTGTAAGAACACAACAAGGTTTGTGGAATTTCTTCTTCTTCTTCTTCTTCTTCTTCTTCTTCTTTTTGGAAAAATGTATTAGATTTTTAGGTGCATCAATATTTTGGACCTGGATTTTGTAAGGATATTGTTACATTTTGGAGTCAATTAATAACGATTATTGGGGTTGTTTGATATTGTTATCTTCTATCTTGTTTTGTAGTCAATATATATAAATCGCTCAACAAATAAAAAAAATACAAAATTTTTAACAAATTGTAAAATGACCTTCGGCAATATTCAACTAATGTTGCAAAAAAAAAGGATGTAATCGTAGACAACAGGCAAAAAATGTTGGAAAAAGTTATTAAGGACCCTGAAAAAATGTTGCGAAAAGGTTATTTGCAACACTTTAAAAACGTTGAAAAAAATTTATTAACAATGCTCAAAAAACACTGCAAAAGGAGTTTCAGCAGTATTTTTTGAACGTTATAAAAATCTTTCTTTGTTGTAATGTAATGAATACTGCCTAGAGCTTTAATCATCTTCTAAAATACTTTCCCGTATCAATTTAGTATTAGAGGACAATCACATTCTAAATAGAGATGACTTGATGTTCCTTAAACCTAGATAGCAAAAATCATGCAACGTGAGGAATCAACACAAATGTGTCAACAAGAGATATGTTGGAACAATTGACAGCAATGGAACAATTTTATGGACAAATTTAGATCTTCAAGCTGCATATAGGTGATTTTCTATAATGATGGTTAGATGTTGCAAAGGTATATCAAAGGAGGGCGTAACGGTGAAGATTACATTTACTCAATCCCAATTTATGGAATATTGATTAGGCAAGGGTCATGATGACCTGTCTAATTTTTACTTAAATATAAATGAGGATATTTAAGAAGATTATATTGAGAAAAGACCGTGATTTTGGATATTGATAGCATATCTTGTTAAAAAAACACGGTTTTCCTAACTTAATATGGCAACATATTAATACAATTATATTAGCTATTTAATATAATGGGCAAAAAATCAAGGGGTCTATTTTGGTATGCCCATAGAGTTCTCAAATTAATGTGGGCTAATTGAGTGGATACCAGCCAATATTGCTCTAATTGAGGGATTATGGGAATCTTAATTAAGCAGCATATAAAGGTTATTTCGGTTATGGTCCCCAATATACCAAATCACACACTTTTTCCCTTCTCCCCATCAAGAAGAGAAATCACGGTCCCATTGAGGAATAAGGCGATTTGGTTGAGGAAGATCACAAAACCACCCTCTTCATTTGGATTCATAAGCACGTGGTTGATTGTCGCAGTAATTCCTCAACAGTAGACAATTGTTCATAATGGATACAGGTATATAATCCGAATTTATAAATCCTAGTAATTTGGCATGATGTTGATACTAAGATTTAAGTTATTTTGATCTAGGATCTTTGAATCTAATTTGAATTTTCTAACAAGTGGTATCAGAGCGGTTATCATTTGCTAGATTATTAGGATTTGTGCATGTTCTATTC